TACAACTTATGCTCTTGCTGTACGAGAACACCCTCTCTTTTTTGTGAAAATAGTTCTACAACAATTACTAATGATTTGTTTCCACATGCTACATCACTATCAATACCAGGTGTTCTTGCATTCACCATTTCTCTCGGCTTGTTGTGCAGGTGTTCATGTTTTTTCTGGTAGGGTTGGATATTCATTGTGTGTACATTTTGGTTTGCCACTCATGAAGCTTTGTTGCTCGTGTGTTGGGCTGTATGGATGGATACCCGGATATTCTCTGGTGCTCTTTTCTTTTTTTGTACCAAATGGTTATAAGCTTTGAATGGAAAAGCTGGGACACAGACTTTTCTCTAATATAAGACTTGGTGGTGTACCTAGAAAGTTCAGGTTTGAGGGTCAAAAGATCATCATGGATAATTACTGGAAAGATCTTCCATGTACATAAATCTGGTAAGTAGACTGGAATTTTACTCTAGCCATACCATATCAATTATATCATAATATCGACTATCACGAAAAAGAACTTCCATTTTTATTCCTACCATATCAGATATTTATTTTCTCTAAATAGCATAGCTACTGAAGCGTTATTTAACATTTATTTCTCAATGCCCCTTTTCTTCTCATAATTCGAGAAAACCGACACAATTATCAGCTAATGCCCTGTGAGTTTGTAGTTTTTACTTTCTTGACGAAAATCAGGAAAAATCTGTGATGTCATCACCATTTATTTGGATCTCTGTGCAGGTCTTCGTTCATGTTTGTCAGGATCAAAACTTTGCATATTTTTCTTTAAATTTGGGGTTTTATCATTCTTTGGCACAAGTATTTCCTCTCCATCTACAAATATCTCTTTTTAATTAGTGATGGAGTCCAATTTCAAAACAGAATACAATCTAATGTTGGCTTTCTCAGTGTAGTTTTCTATCCAATTTTTTTTGCACAAATTTGTATGCACAGACCTTAGTGACCAAATCACTGGTTGGATAGTGACAAGTTATGTTGTTCCTGATTTTTGTTCGCTACTAACATCCTTGTAGGGCATTATCCAACCGGACATGTGGAATGTAGTGCCATCAAGCAGATGGAACTGGCCAACTTTAAGGGAAACTATTCCTAAAGTTGGAGTACGAAACTCTCGTCTGGTGGCTCCAATGCCCACTGCTTCCACTAGTCAGATTCTTGGCAACAATGAGTACTTTGAACCATACACGTCTAACATATACAGTCGGTGGGTTCTAAGGTTTGTAAAAACAGTCTTAGTGTTCACATTCTCAATTCTATATGCATATCATGGATTTTCTTTATCATTTTTTCCAGTGGGGAGTCTGCAAGTGGTTAACAAGCATCTTCTCCATGATTTGACTGAGATGGGTATCTGGACACCTGCTCTGAAAAATAAGATAATTTATGAAGATGGTTCTGTTCAGAAGATGGGAGAAAACCCTGATGATCTTAAAGCAATTTACAAGTATGTGGTTCACCTTCCTCTCGTTACATTCTACTCGATGCAGTTGATCTGAAAGCATACCCAATTATTGTATCAACACTGTTTGGGAGATCAACTAGAAAACTCTGGTTGACATGGCTGTTGATCGTGGATGCTACATCGATCAGAGCCAGAGCCTTAATGTCCACATGGATCAACCAAACTTTGCAGAGCTAACTTCGTTGCATTTCCATGCTTGGTCCAAGGTAACCAACCCATCATTGGAGTTCTGAATCATTTTAATTTAACCTTCAGCATTTCATATCCATTCCTGGTCAAACAAATCTTTAAACTGACAAGCAATGGTCTGCTTAATCCTTGGTTGTTGTTAGGGCCTGAAAACTGGGATGTACTATTTAAGAACTAGGGCAGCCGCTGATGCAATCAAGTTTATGACTTTATGTAGGTGTTGTTGGGTTTAAGATCAGAGGAGTTCCTTTGGTGGGCAGCCCTTGATGGCTGAGTTGCCAACGTTGGCTTGTGTTGTATTTGTACTATCTAAAAACATGGGTTGCTGCAGCTGTATATATATGTATCATTGTTCGTGTTATC